CACTGCCCAGGCCGGGGGGAGGTGGCGAGCGCGGCTCTGGGACCTGCGGCCCCGCCAGGCGCAGTCGCTTTCGCTTTTGCTTTGGCCCCCGAGGGTTCGGAGAGGTGCAGAGCGGTGACAGATCCGTGACTCAGCGTCCCCACCCCTGCTGGCGAAGGAGCCCTGCGGACCGCCGCGGCCCCGCATAGCCACCCCTGTCCCCGGGACGCACGGGCGGTGCTCGGTGGGGACCAAGGACTTTACCCACGCAAGCCCGGGAACCTCCCGGTCCTCCGCGCTCCTCGTGCTCCGGGACCTCCAGCGTGCACTCGGTCTGGTGTCCCCACTGCGGAGAGAGCGGGCAAAGCCATCAGACAGCAGACTCTCTCCAGACCCCTCTGCGGCTCGGATCCACTCGACGTTGCCCCGCGCGGGTCGCCTCCAGCTGCTCCGCCTTCGACTTTCCTGGTCTCCCTCCGGGGCCCTGCGCTCGGTTCTGAGCTGCCGGCCTGGGTGAGTGCCGGCGGTGGTGTCGCCGCGGTGCGGAGCCGCTGGCACCTGCCTGGTGCACTCAGGCCCGGGCGGAGCGCAGGCCCCGCCACCTGCTGGCTCCCGCGGCGCCCGGCGCCCGCTGGGGTCCCAGCTCTGCCACTTCGCCGAATTCCTGCTGCAGCTTTGCTCCCCCAGAAAATGCCTCATATTAGGAGAGGGGGCCGAGTGGGGTGACGGGGGAGAGGAGCCACAGTGCTTCAACTCTGCGCCTCGCTTCCTTAGATTCTTCCAGGCTACCATCCCCCTCTTTGGCAGGTGGGATTTTTCTTTCTTGAGGTCTCAAGTGAAGCCTGAGAACCGGGTCTGTAAGCTCCCAAGTGCAGATTCTCAGGTCTAGGGGTCACATTGGACAGGATGAGACATCTCCGAGCCTCGGTCATTGTCTCTTAAAATCTCACGACGTGTTTATGAGGCTTTTGTGACATACTTGCAAATTCTCTTTGAAAACGAACTAATCTGTACAACAATCCCCCAAGACGCAGGTTTACTATATAACAAGCCTGCACATGCAACCCGAAACTTCAAATACATAAGAGTTAAATCAAAGAATTTAGGACCAGGCGCACTGACCACTCCCGTAATACAATCACTTTCGGAGGTCAAGGCAGGTGGATCGCCTGAGGTCAGGAGTTCGAGACTAGCCTGGCCAACATGGTGAAACCCTATCTCTACTAAAATTGCAAAAATCAGTTGGGCGTGGTGGCAGGTGCCTGTAATCCCATCTACTCTGGAGGCTGAGGCAGGAGAATTGCTTGAACCCGGGAGGCTGAGATTGTAGTGAGCTGAGATCGCCCCACTGCATTCCAGCCTGGGCAACAGAATGAGACTCCGTCTCAAACATAAAATAAAATAAAATAAAATAAAATAAAATAAAATAAAATAAAACAAACAAAAGAATTTAATGGCGTAAAAACGTAGGTTGTTATGCATCCCCCTCCCCCCACCCCACACACACAGTGGGAAAAGAGTAGATGAAAGCTTTTCCTACAGTCATGTTGAGCCTCATGACCTTTCTGTTAATGCCAGCTGGTATGTGCCTCGGTGGTCCCATAAGATTATGATTCCATGTTTTTACTGTAACTTTTCTATGTTTAGAGACACGGATCCTCACCACTGTGTTACAGTTGCCTGCAGTATTCAGCAAGGCTTCGTGCTGCACAGCTTTGCAGTCTCGAAGCAACAGGCTAGGCCGTGTGACCTCAGTGCGTAGCAGGCTATGCCATGCAAATTGTGTAAGTCCTCTGTGATGTTGGCAAAATGAGGAAATCATCTGACAAGCTTCTCAGAAACTATCTCTATTAGTAAGTGAGGCATGACTGTACTTGCTCCTCTTTCCCTAAAAAGCTTAAAATTGGCATAAATGTAAAACATACCGAACAAAGGAATGCAGAGGATTGGAAATCCCACTTGGATCCAACCTGTAAATATAATCAATGTCAACATTTTGTGTGTTTCAGGTTTATGAAAACTTCTTTTGTTATGGACATTTTCAAATATCAAAAGTAGAGCCCAGATGGGGTGGCTCACGCTTGTAATCCCAGCACTTTGGAAGACAGAGGCAGGAGGATCGCTTGAGGCCAAGAGTTGGAGGCCAGCTCGGGCAGCACAGTGAGACCCCTATCTCTACAAAAACTTTAAACAAAATTAGCCTGATGTGGTGGCACTTGCCTGTAGTCCCAGCTGCTTGGGAGGCTGAGTCGGGAGGACTGTTTAAGCCGGGGAGTGAGGTTTGAGGCTGCAGTGAGCTATGATGGTGCCACTGCATTCCAGCCTGGGCAACAGAGCCAGACCCTGTCTCTTAAATAATAATAATAAAAAAAAAGCAGAAAGAATAATGAACCTACCATCTGGCAGTGACCACACAAGGTCCGTTCTTTTTTCTAGGCAGAAATAGCCACCTTTATTCCAACTGGAGAAATCCCACATTATTCAATCTCCCTCAATACTTAAGAATGTATCTCAAGATGATAAGATCAAATTTTAAAATTAACAACATTCCTTAATATTGTCAAATATATTCAGGCCTTATTGAATGCAGTGTGAGCATACCATGTATAAAATAGAACATTTTTTATTCTATGAACATTTATGAAGTAGAGATTTCTCCATTCTTACAGATTCTTTGTAAAAGTTTTTAATAGTTGCAGATTATCATAGTTTAACATCCCCTCTATTATTTTAATATTAAAAATAAGATTGTCATAAATATCTTTCTACAAAGTCTTGTGAATTTAAGATTGTTTAGAATAGATTTCCTACAGTGGAACTATTGAGTCAACTGGTAGGGAATATTTTTAAAGGCTTTTTTTCCTTTTAAACAAATATTTCTATCTTGCTTTCCAAAAGTCTTGTATCAATATACCTTCTAACTAGCATTGTGTTAAAGTATCCATTTTACTGCATTCTGGCCAAAAGTACATTTTAAAATTTGAAAATAAAGTTTTAAATTTTGTTTGCTTAAAAGAACTTTATTTCATTACATATATATGTGTTGTTAAATAGTGTAAATTTCAAACATACTTTGAAGTATAGCAATCAATAAATATAGTGGATATCCATGAGCCTACGGCCTCATCCTGTCAAATCTTAATATGTCTGCCCAATGTTTGCTTCAGGTATTTTTTGGAATAAAAAAATTACAGATAAAGTTGAAGCCCCTTTGTATTCCTGCATCTTTCTCTTCCTCTGTCTTCTACCTTCTCGCAGGTAATGTTTCTTGAAATTGGCACTCATTATTCCCAGGCATTCTTAGGCCCCTTTTCCATGTGTATGTCCATGTGCAACGGACAGGAAGGTTTATATGTTAAAAAATTCATATGAATAAGGCTGGGTGCAGTGGCTCACGTCTGTAATCCCAGCACTTTGGGAGGCTGAGGCAGGAGGATCACTTGAGGTCAGGAGTTCGAGACCAGCCTGGCCAACATGATGAAACCCCATCTCTACTAAAAATACAAAAATTAGCAGGGTGTGGTGGCATGCGCCTGTAATCCCAGCTACTTGGGAGGTTGAGGCACAAGAATTGCTTGAATCTGGGAGGTGGAGGTTGCAGTGAGCTGAGATCGCTCCACTTCACTCCAGCCTGGGCGATAGAAAGAGACTTAGTCTCAAAAAAAAAAAAAAAAAAAATTCATCTGAATAATACCATACAGGTTGAGCGCTCCTGATCTCCAAATCCAAAATCCAAAATGGTCCAAAATCCAAAACTTTTTGAGCTCTGACATCACACCACAAGTGGAAAATTCCACACCTGATCTCGTGGGGTGGGTTGCAATCAAAACACAGGCACAAAACACACTGTTTATTCAGCATCCCCAAGGGGAAAAAGACTCTCCCAGCCACCTTTAGCTGAGAGATATCTTTTCTGTGCACACCCAGATTCCCCCATGCAAGCACACACACAAAGGGTGGTAAAATGGCATGTGTGCTGGTCAAACACACCCATGACAGGTCCCCACAATTCCCCATATGGAGCCAAGGCCTGCTCCTGTGCACTTCTCACTGTGGTATTTTTGCTTATTCTCTGCTCTCTGGTCTAATGATATTGTTGAAAATATTGGCCGGGTGCAGTGGCTCACTTCTGTAATCCCAGCACTTTGGGAGGCCAAGGCAGGTGGATCACTTGAGCACAGGAGTTCAAGACCAGCCTGGGCAACATGGCGAAACCCCTCTACTAAAAATATGAACATGAGTCTGCTGTGGTGGCAGGTGCCTGTAATCCCAGCTACTCAGGAGGCTGAGTCACAAGAATCGCTTGAACCCAGGAGGCCGAGGTTGCAGTGAACCGAGATTGCGCCACTGCACTCCAGCCTGGGTGAAAGGGCAAGACTCTGTCTCAAAAAAA